GCCCCGCCTCGCCCCGCCCCGCCTCGCCCCGCCCGTTTCCGGACGCTGCTCGCCCGGATTGCGGGGATCGAGCGCCGACCCGGCGCGGCCCGTCTACCTCTATGCGGGGGCGGTAATGAGACTGGGGGCGGTGAGGCGGCGCTCACATCGCCACCCCCTTCACTGACCCGCCCGCTGGCGGCTACTGACTGACGGGGTGGATGCTGCAGCAGCAGCCGAGGGAGACGACCGCCCTGCCCTGTCCAGCTATATGGCCCACCCCAGCAGCTCCCGTCAGTTTAGTTTGTGTCTGTTCCCCTCCGCTTCCCTCTCGTTTCTCTTTCGCTCTTTACAATTCCCCTTGCTTCCCCTTGCTTCCTCCGACACCCCCCTATCGCCCCCAACCCGCCGTTGGTCAGCCGTCCTTGCCCCGTCGCTGGTAGTATCGTTGTGGTCTTGTTGGTGATGGTGGTTGATGGTCAGGCTCTCGCTCCGCATGCCATCGTCAGCCCGGGGCCGACGTTAGTCTCGCCGAGACGAGGGGCGCGCAGTAGTAAGCAAGCAAGTCGCTTTCCACCCCTTTTCCATGTCCCGGTCTCCTCCCCCCTCCTCCCGCTCCGCCCGCGCCGCCGTCAACAGGGGGCGCATGTCGCCCCGAGGCCACAGCCCGGGCCGGGCGGGGGAGGCTGTCACCATGGCAACGCGTCTCCCAGGCGCCACACAGCCTTGCCCCCTTTCTCCCCGGCCAACCCGGAGCGGAGGCGAGCCTTCCCTGTTCACTCACCCCTCTCTCTCCTTCTGCCTTCCCCGCCGCTGCCCGCCGCGCTCTCTGCCCGTTACTGCGTACGAGCGGGACCAGTGAATTAATTAGACGCACCGTCAGACTTTTGTGTCCTTCGCAAAGGGTGCTATAAGACTTGTGCTGGGTGCGGCGTAGGAGGGCGATTCATCGGCTGACACGCGCCTTCGTTTACTTCAGTATAGCTTCTTTCTACGCTTCACAGAATTGTTGTTATTATTTTTAACAAATCCCGTTCTATGATGTGCCACTCGAAGATAGATTAGCGGACCTCTGTGTGGTCCGGCTTTACCGTCTTTTCCAACCCCCCAAACGCACAGCCGCAAAAGAACGTGTTAACAGTGTTGTCTGTTGCTCCTGCAGGGTCGGCACAATCGGTGAAGCAGCAACAGCAACAGCAGCAACAGCAGCAGCAACAGCGACACATCCAGGAGATCATCCTGCGAAAGAAGGCGGAGCAGGAGCAGCAGGAGCAGCAGGAGCAGCAGGAGCAGCAGCAGCAGCGCCGTCGGAAGACCGAGAGCGGTGAGTCAGCTCGTCGCTGGGCTTGGGGTCGGCCCCCTGCAGGCGGGGAGGCCCGGCAGGCTCGCCCGTGTGGCGGGGCTGCCTACGGCGCAGGGGCCCTCCGCCGCCACGCCCCATCTTGTTCGTGCTCTGACTGTTGCGTTTTCGTCTTGTGTTGCAGATGCGCCTGCGGTGGGCAACGGCGTGCAGCGCACTATCATCGCCATCACTAACCACGTCAACAACCAGGATGGCGGAGCCGGCCGCTACCTGCACAAGAAGTTCAAGAAGGTGGTCGAGGTGGAGGAGGCCCCGGCGGCACCGCCCGCGCCCACCCCGGGCGTGGCTGCGCTTGCCTCACCTGCCGCGGTGAATGGCCACCCGCCGCCCGCGCCCGCGGCACCCACCGCCGCCCCCGGGGACGCCGCGGCCGCCACCCCTGACGGTGGCCCGGGCAGGGAGGAGGCAGGCGCGGGCCGCTATGTGTGCTCGTACTGCAACATGGCGTGCGCCAAGCCCTCGGTGCTCGAGAAGCACATTCGGGCGCACACCAACGAGCGGCCCTACCCCTGTGAACCGTGCGGGTTCCGCTTCAAGACCATGAGCAACCTCTACAAGCACCGCCGCTCGCATACGCACACGCGCAAGATGGAGGAGGTGGGAGCGGACCCGTCGCTCTTCCCCCAGATGCCGCCCGACGCCGAGGACGACGGTGGCTCGAGTGACGGCCGCGAAGACGGCGCACCTCCGGCGCCCGCGGCCACGCCTAGCAGCGCGCTACCTGGCCAGCAGCCGGAGCACCCCGAGCCCGTGCGCAACATCTACAAGCCCAAGTTCCACCCGGCCGCCTTCCAGTACAGCGAGGAGAAGGAGAACGGTGCACGCCGACCGGCGTCGTCCGAGTCGGGGCCGGGGCCGGGGCTGGCGCCGGGGCCGGAGGGTCTGACGACGCCCGGTTTCGGCCTCAGTCTCGGCCCCATGCAGTCGTCGACGCCCAGCCCCGAGACCCTCCAGCGGCGGATCAGCAAGCTCATCTCCGAGAACAAGGCCATCGTGGACGCGGCCGACCCGCTCTGGGCCAAGAAGTACAGCCAGCGCATCGGCGGAAGCAGCTCACCCGCCGGATCTGGAGCGCCTTCGCCCGCTCCTTCGCCCGCCCCATCGCCTGCCCCCGCCGCAGACAGCCCTGCCCCCTCACCGCTGCACAAGAAGTATCTGTACCGCCAGTTCAGCGGGGAACAGCAGGCCGACTCCAGGCTGGCCCTCGCGCTGACGGGGCAGAAGCAGGGTGGGGCCGGCCCTGCTGCCCCGCCGCCCACCGCTACACCCACGCCCACGCCCCCGCCGCAGGCGCCTTCCCCGCTTCACCCTCGCGCCCTGATGGCTGGGCCTGATGCGGAGGCTCCCCTGAACCTCTCCAAACCTGTGCCGCACGTCCGCGACGGCTCCCTGGACCTGACTCAGCCACACAAGCGACAATCGGCTCACCAGCCACCCCCGCCCCACCAACTGCCCCTGCTGCACCAGCACCCGTATCCACAGCACCAGCCGCTGCACCACCAGCTGGTGCCCCACCAGATGCAGTCCCACCAGCTGCCAACCCACCACCAGCTGCACCAGCCCGCCCACCAGATGAAGGGCCACCTTTTGCAGGCTCAGCACCTGCACCACCTCCCGCCCGCCACCACCACTGCCCACGAGCCGGACTCGGCCTTCAAGCGAGTGTCTGCCGGCTATGGCGTGGACCCGCACGGGTCTCACGCCAGCATCGATGGCTCAGTCATCAAGGATATCCTGCTCAAGTCGCGGGCCGCGGCGGCGGCGGGCCTTTACCTCCCCGCCGTGGACACCGGCGCCTATTCCATGCTGCCGCCGTACCTCCCGGAGGTACGACCCGAGGACGCCACCTACCTGGTGCCAGGCGCCCCGCCCGGCGCGGCCTACCAGTGCCACAACTGCAAAGCGCCCTACCGTAGTGCGGACGCTCTCCGCAAGCACGTCATGTACTGCGGCAAGACGGCGTTCATGCAGCCGCGGGTCCCTAGCCGGCCGCCCAGTGCGGAGGTGTCTCCCCGGGGCGTGATGCCACCGCAGCCGTCGCCGGGTCCGCTGCTCGGCAACACGCCACTCGTGGACAGCTACAACGCGGTGCCGGTGCCGCCCAAGAGGCGCCGCCTGGACTCGGGCGGCAGTGAGCAGCCAGCACCGCCGCGGGCCTCACCGCGGGCCTCGCCGCGCGCGCTCGCCTCACCCGCGCCGCCACCTTCGCCACTGCCGTCGCCGCTTCCTGCAACGCTGCGCTCTCTGGAGGAGCTGTCGCGCTCACCACTGCGCGCTAACTCGCTGCAGATGTTCGGCGGCCAGGTGCAGATCCTAGATAACGCCGCGGGTGAGCCGACCACGCTGCGCATCGAGCCGTCCGGGCTCAACATGTCGGACAAGTCGGGCGCGGATGGCGGCGCGGTGAGCAACGCGGGGGCCTCGCCGCAGCAGATGGTGGTGACCATCTCCAAGTCAGGGCTGCAGTCGGGCGGCGGTACTATCCTACAGCAGGTGCCGGCATCGGCCGCGAACACCGACACCTCGGCGTCCGGGGCCGATCACAAGGGCAAGTCGCCGTACATGAGCGTGGCCGGCGGGAACGGCATGGCGGACGCGACACACCTCGTCATGCCCTTTATCCCCAACATAACCACGCCCAACCTGTGCATCAAGGGCATCCCAGCGCCCTCGCACCTGCCGCTCCACCCTATGGGATATGGGATGTCCATGGGCTCGGCCCTCAGCTCCGCTATGGGGCACCACGTCGCTATGGGGCACTCGCTGCCGCTCGGCGAGCCGCTGCTGAACCCGCTGACCAACATCACGGCGTTCAACCCGCTGACGCTGGCTGCGCAGCCGCTGACCGCTCCAGCCCCGCCCCCGCCGCCTCAACGTCCGCCCCGGCCGGCGCAGCCCCTGCCCCCGGCCTCGTCGCCGCATGGGGCGCAACAGCACCAGCCCGGCCCCGGCACGTCCACCGCCACCTCGTCGTCGTCCAGCATCTTGTACGGCGGCGGCGTGCTCACCATCGTGTGCGACGGCCGCGCCATCCCTCACGTGCCAGGCATGCCAGGCCCCGCGTCGCAGCTGCACGCCACCGCCACCGCGGCCGCTCTCGGTCCGGCCACCCCCGGCCACTTCGGCCCCGCGCCAGTTGCTGCCTCCACGCCAGCGTCCTCTTCCTCCACACCGGTGCCCTCTTCCACCACGCCGGTGCCCTCTTCCTCCACACCGGCGCCCTCTGCCTCTACGCCGGCGTCCTCCGCCTCACCCGTCTACAAGCGGCCCGCCGCCCCCGCGCCCCCCAAGGAGTCCGTCCGGCCAAAGGCGCCAATTCTCCCCTTACTGCCTGCCGGCCCCACCATGTCGTCGCCTGTGCCCTTCTCGATCTCCGCGGCACCGTCGCCCCCGCCTCCGCCCCCACCCCCTCGCGCTGAGAAGCGCAACTTTAGCATGTTCTCTGCCGAGGCGATGCGGAGGGCTGAGGTGCCAGGGGACGTATCAACCCTCGTGCCGACCGTGCCCAGCATCCACGTGGAGCCCGCTCCGCTCCCCGGTCCGCCTGCAGCCGACGACTCTGGGTCTCTCGGCCTCAGGCTGAAGCGGTCAGGCTCCGGCTCCCTCACCGATGAGAGAGACGAGTTGGCTGAAAAGAGAATTCGGATGACTTCGTTGAATTCGGTGAGGGTGCTATTTTGTATTTCCCGTGCAAAGAAGTATACTTGCTTTAAACTAATGCTTTGACTTTCCTTTTTTTT